AGACCATTAAAACACCGTTGAATTCTGATCCCCAGCCCAAGACCCTCCACACAAAGCCCCACATGAATAAGCCCCGAACCCTGTACCACGCCCTGAACTAAACCCTAAACCCCAACCAAACACCCCCACCATATGGGAGATTCCGCAGATAGGGGGCCCTAAGATAGTACCCTGAATCGTAGTATCCTTGCTTTAAGGACCCCAAAATAAGGCACCCCTTATTCTCCGAACCTCCTACATATCCTGGGCCTTCTTCTCTGAGCCCGGCTCTGGCACAGCTGCGGCCTGCAACCGGCAAAACTGGGTGCTTGTGAAGGAGGCTTAAAGTTTAGGCGTTGGGCCTTAGAGTCGACCAAAAGTCTCCATCGTATTTCCTTTTGGGGTTACTTTATATGAGATTCTACATAAATAAACAACCCCCCCAAACAAAAACAAAATATATATATATATATATATATGAACCCATTGAGCTGAAGGAGTTTGGACGCAACAGAACCGAGAAATGTCAGCTCGAGCCCACGCGAAAAGCAGCTCCCGACATGCAAGGACCACCACTAGAAGTTCAGTGCGGAACATCTCAGACACTGTGCACAAGAAACCGCATAGAGTGACAATCGGCCCAACACATAAGTCAAGATCCTTGCGCACCCTGCAGCACTAAACCCAGCATCCTCAGCCCATAAAAATCCTTAGCCTTACACCCCAAAAGATCATCAACAACCCTTAAGACAAGAAACCCCTGGGAACGCTACACCTTAAACAACCTAAAGACCTTAAGCCGCTAGGAACGCTACACCTCAAACCTTCCTGCCCGGAAACTCGAATGTCACAGAATCCCGACCTCTGTCGGGCGAGGTGCAGAACTCGAGACAGCGCCTGCCAGTACTTGAGGCCATGAAAACATGAAGTTTAGGGTTTAGGGTTTAGGGCACTCGAGCTATAGGGGGGTAAATTCAGCCTCCAGCTGTAAAGCTGGAGGAATAGCTGATTAATTGATGATTGTTCAGGGCCCGTGTGTCAGCTTGCCAGCACAGTCTGAAGACGCCAGAAGCTTACAGCTAGACCCTAAACTCAAAACCCTAAAACCCTAAACCCTACAACCCAAAAACCCTAAACCCTAAAACCCTAAAACCCTAAACCCCAAGCCCTAAAACCCTAAAACCCTAAGCCCTAAAACCCTAAACCCTAAACCCTACACCCTAGAAGCCCTAAAACCCCTAAACCCTAAACCTGAGGATCTTGGGGATCTCCCTAGAGTCCCAGAGGGTCCTACCCTACCTCTTCGAGTAGCGTACCTACTTTTCATTATCAGATATTCCTAGCCACAAAACTAAACGGTTTTGGGTTTAGGGTTTAGGATGTAGGGTTTAGGGTTCAAAACTATACCACCCTAACAGTCACATTGGTACTTCTTTAGGCTTCCATATTACTACTCTATTAGCTTGAACCTGCAAGCCATGAACCCAAAAGCCGGGCTTGGAATTTTGCCATCCAGCTGAGACAAAAATGATCTCTGCGGAGTCAAGAAGGGGACACAGGCTGATCCAAGTTGGAGGCCCTTCAACTTTGATGAAGATGAACATGAGCAGCCCCGGCACCCTTCAGCCCTGAAAAAGAAGCACCTGAGCCCTAAACCCTAAACCCTGAACCCCTAAGCCGAAAACCCTGAACCCCTAAGCCCTAAACCCTGAACCCCTAAACCCTAAACCATAAGCCACCCCCCCAATGTGGATCAACGCAGACAGCTCTTCCTTCGAAGAGCATCGCAGTGCGCGATGGGCCTCCCATCCTCCATTCCCTAAGGATCCATGTACGCATCTTGTTTAAAGGTTTAGGGTTTAGGGGTTTATACGGTTTAAGGGTTTAGGGCTTTAGGGGTTTAGGGTGTAGGGTGTAGGCTATACTCTGGCCTTGAAGTACTTCCCATATAGGTAAGGCCCCAGTATATACTGCAGGGGTACAGTACATGGACCCATAGGGATTGAAGCCCATTCCGCAGCACTTGTGGCTCGTCCAAATGGGAATTTCAGAAGCCAAGGTGCCCAATCTCTCAACACTGCTGTTTCTAGCCTTCGGGCTTGGGTCCCGAAGTCTTTCAAAGAACTTATCCTAGAAACCCGGTCTCAGTTTCAGGAGTTTCTTGTTGGATTTCTGAACTTCTGCGAGTAGCCACCATACGTACAGCAGGTTTGGTCCGCGAAGCAAGACGGCAGTCATGACGCTTTCGGTCTTGGGACTTCGTGGTTTCTACGGTGTGGAATTCTGAGAAGAGCTGTAGACTACAGGATCCGGTTTATGAGACTTCATTCTGGAGCCTTCCTCTATTCAAAACCACATTCTTAGACTACTGCTTTGGGCGTATAAAATATATCTATATGTATATATAGATATATGCTTTATTACGACTATAATAAGGGCATGTTGCTACGTAAAACTCAGACCCTCACTTTAGTGTTTGGGGGTTTGAACACTAGCGGCTCCGCATTTTAGTTTGGGTGCAGTAGCTTAGTACTTGGGAGTTTGGCGCACGTTTGGTTTGGGGTGTGGAAATCAAGCACGGTTGATGATATAAACCCTGCATTATCCAGAATAAGGACTATACCAGACTTCCCATAGTTTAGGGTCACTATAAGGTAATGCAACCCTAAACTCTAAACCCTAAACCCTAAACGGTCTAGGGTTTAGGGTTTATATCATCAACCGTAGGACCTGATGGGAGCACCCACCTGTGGGTTTAGGCCACAGGCTCGGAGACTCGGAGCATTGTCCATGCCATCCGCCAGTCCCACAGGAATTAGGGCTTAGGGGTTTAGGGGTTTGGGGTTTAGGGATCAGGGATAGAATTTCGTCTAGCATGTTGCTTGTTGACTTTAAGTATTAAGCATATGAGTCTTGGCTTTCAGGTGTCGAGCTGTCGCAACCGCACACTTGTTGCGGTTCTGTGGGCCTGGAGACCAGCCCAAACCCCTGGCAGCCTGGAACCTTTCCATGAAGAAGGTCCTTTAAAGGAAACTAGTATGTAATCCGTAGAACCCTCTGTGACTTCGGAAAGTACTGTCCGCAGAGCTCTTAGCGTTTAGGGTTGATTGAGACGGCGCGCCGGCCGTTGATCTAAGTGGCTCGGTTCAATATTCGGCACTCTAAACCCTAAGCCCTATAAGCATTTAAGTTTCCGGTGCGTCTACTCGTAACTCGGTGGGACACGCTGTACCTCGCAAATGGTGCATCATACCTATAGACTCCAGTGTAGTTCCTTCTTTGGGGTACCTGACGGGATTCTAAACGCAAAACTGGTTCGTTAACCAAGAAGGGGAGCTGCAATGCATACTATACAGCTACAGTTGGGGTAGTCTGACACCACTATTCTGCGGCGGCCGTGGAGAAAACAGGAGTATACCCTACACCCTAAATCCCTAACCCCTAGACCCTTAGCCTGAATCCTAGTCTGGCCCTCTAGCAAACCCGAACACCACAACAGGAATCATCGAGCTCCAAGAGCCTCTCGCCTATTTTACCCTTCCGAAGCGGATCTGACTAGATTTAGGGTTTAGTGTGCAGGATTTAGGGCCGGACCGGCATGGCATGCACAGTGGTGCGGCGAGAGCTGCTTCTGAGAAGGGTCTATGGAACCCTTAAGCCCTAAACTCTTTGGGTTTGGGGTTGTCCGAAACCCTAAACGCTAAAGCCTCTAGGATTTAGGGGTTTAGGGCTGAAAAGGAAGCTTTATGTCACTAGTCCGATGCATTGCGGAACAGCGAGCACTTCAAACTGCGACGTGCTGAAAGCTGCACCAGGTGCATGGCAACGGCTTAATCAGCATTACAACATAATACTTGCCATCGGCAACCCTGGACCAACAACAAGTCCTTAAAAATACCTAAAGCCCCAAAACCGTCTAAAATCCCACAACCCCTACAAAGCTCTTGGGCTGCGAGAGACTCTCAGAAGCAGGCTTGAGGAGGGGAACTGCAAGCCAGATGCATTCGCATGGCACGTCGACTGAAGGGATCCAGGCGAACGACTTGGAGGACTGTCTTACGGTTTACGGTTTCGGGTTGGGGGTTTAGGG